CTTTTTTTATATATATATATATATATATATATATATATATATATATATATATATATATATGGGTCAGTGGTGCATTGTGGGTAGTCTATTTTGGGAGTTATTTTGCCGGAAGTCGTTTATTTATTTGGGTTATATTATTTTGCTTGTCTTTATTTTTTTTTTTCCTATCTTATATATATTTACTTTAATCGGTGTTTTATTAACGTAAAAATTTGTTTATATCGCTTATTTAATAGTTTTGTTTGGGAAGATAAAGCTATTTATTCAATTTTGGGGTTGATTGTTGTAGTTTATTCTCACTATTATTTTGGTGGGAACAGTTTTTAATTTGTTTATTACTTCATGTATTTATTTGGATTGACTATCTTTATTTGTTTTTTCTAACAGCTAATTTATCAGGATCGGTTTGTTAGTTTATTTATTTGGATTAATTTAGATTAATTTAATTTACTTATATCTTATTTATTATACTGTATATTTTTATTTACTCTTTTCGGTTTTCGATTTTTAAGTAACGTAGAATTTTTTTTCTTTTATCTTCATATAACTGTTACAGCTATGTTTTTTGCCTGATTTTTGGTTTGATTTTTATAGTCTAACTAATATTTTGGTCATAATGGTTTGTTAATTTGTTTATTATTTACTTTATTTGGGTTCATTGATTTTGTTTTTTATTTATTTATTCTATTTCATCTATTCTAATGGGTTTGGTTTAGTAATTTGTTTGGGTTAATTTATTTTACTTATTTTATTGTCATTTTGTTTATTTTATTTTATTATTTTCTGTTTTCGATTTTTAAGTAACGTAGTGAAAATTTGTTTTCATGTCCATTTTGAGATGGGCTTGGATCGTTTATTTAATAATTTATTTTGGTCTGGGAAGGTAATGATAGCTATTTTTTTCCTCCAAGCAAAGTTTGCAAGTTTTTGATTGGTTGTTGTAGGCTGATGATCTTTTCCTTATTTTCCAAGATATTTTTGGTGTGATTATTGTGCTGTTCGCATATGTACTAGTTGTGAAAGAGGTTTTCTGTGTTTCCAGGGTCCTTCAGTTATTCCTATGTATACTTTTTCTTCATTATCTGGTGATTTTATTGTGGCTTGGTACATTATGTTGTTTTATGTGTGTGTGTATATATATATATATATATATATATATATAAATAAATGTATATTTCAGCAGCAGCCTCTCTTTCAAAAAGGTTTCGTTGGATATGACAGAAGGAAAATCTTTTTTAGTTTTTCTAATATTCTTACATTTTTCCATTTGGTGGGAGTAAAAATTTTCCACAGTGTCTATTGTCCCAAGTGCTTTCAGTCACTTACTTAGCCATTTTTGAGGGATTTGCTGCTAATTTCTTTTCATGTTTGTTTTTGTGACAGCTAAATAGGAACAGCATGACTAGAATTTGAGTTGGTGCCTTTCTATAACACAAAAAAAAAAAAAAAAAAAAAAAAATCACACACAAACTTCAACACACCATTTCCACTGCTGAATAAGGTGAGATTTATACTGGGTGACAGATATATTATGTATGGGGCCTGTCACAAGTTGCTTTCAGTTAGAGGTCCTAAGAAAGATGATTGCATTATCAACCAGAATTGTCCTTATGGGTTATTGTACATTGTGGATGGATAAGTGTGTTTTTATGACACTTTGGTCAGACAAGTGACATATATATATATATATATATATATATATATATATATATATTTCTTACACACACAAATTTACATATACTAATAGATGGATTTATACTATATGGAGATACAATATTGACTGTACCTATGTAAGTCTGCAGTGTTTTTGAATTTGAGAGAATGAACTTTGAAAATTTCATCCTGAACAATAAAAGACAAATTGACAAACCTAAAATGGTGCAGAAAATAAGGGGGTGGGGAGAAAATAATCAGTTTTGAACTCTGCTGAACTGAAGGTAGATTTAGCAGATCAATTTAAAAAATAAAAAAATCCCAATTCAAAAATTGGGAAAGAGGGAAAAGGAAACAGAATCAGGGGAAGAGAAGAGGAACAGTGTAGGGAGGAAGAAAAAGTAAGAGAGAGGGAGTAAAGACAGAAAGAAAAAAAGTCAAAGTTTCTTTCAAAAATTGCAATGTCTCAACACACACAAAGAATAGTAGCAGCAGTCACAGTAGTATGTACTGTGTGACATGCTGAGATGATAATGTAAAGCTGTGACTCAGGCTATATAAAAGATAGCAATTAGAATATTAGCATCATCTGACTGTAAAGACAACTCCCTTCAATCCATCCCCCCACCTCTTGCCCACCTGCCAGGGTGATCAGAGAAAAGAACAGGGAGAGGAGAAATAAAAATTGCTGACAGGTCTCAAAAGATGCCACAATCAAAGCAGCTCAAACAATCTTCTATAAAGATACAAATGAACAGATATGTTACAGGTAGAAGTATTTAGGTACAAGTTGTAGATTAAGAAGCAAATAAAAAGTTCAGCAGTAAATTCCTTAAGACTCAGGTTGACACACAAAAAAAAAAAAAAAAAAAAAATTACCAAGATGTACATTCCAAAATTCATCAAGGTGTCATTGTGATGATGAAGAAAATAAAAAAAAAAGTTTTCTTTAAAAGTTGTACACAAAGTACATTTCTATCTTTCATTAAGGACATTATCTGTCCCAGAATCAGGTGCAATCATAGTCACTACACAGCTGACCACCTGACTGAATCCTTTCACATCTCAATGGGTATTCATTCATGTGTAGCAGGTCTTAAGCAAAGCATACCTGATTGAGCCCATCCCTCTTCAAGTCAGACCATAGCTGATGTCCTCCAACTTGAAGGAACACTTGATCATCGACATGTGACCACTGATTCCATCAGGACAACCCTCAGCCATTCTTGCTGACTGAATGGCAATCTATGAAGCTCCCCCCCTCCCTGTTTGTCCTGTCAAAGTTGGCAATAGCTACTATCTAAGCAGTTATGGTTGTCCTTAAGGAAGAGATGATCACTCATCCACTATCAACGACTGTGACATGCCAGTTATGAGACATTTTTGTCCAGATATCTGGAGTGTGGAATAGATCTAAGTACTCAGCTTGAGCAAACTAGGTCAGTTGGCCAACAGTGTAGGAGATGAATAATTCAGGACTCAAAAGTAGGAGTAAAATTCATTACTAATGCCAAATAGGAGTATAAACAATAAAGAGCACTGAATTATAATGCGAAAATCATACTCTTCTAAGGAAACCACATGGCAAGTATGATACTACGCTTAGTCAAAATCAAGAAGTTACTGACAACCGAGATAGAATGTGGGACGGATTTCCTCCTTCAGGAGTGAAAAAGGGTATGATAATAACTTTGTTATAATTGTTCTACTTTGTTATATTGCAGTTAATCACTTATCATGGCTTAATTTATGAATTAAACTTTATCATAGTCATTTTATACAAATGGCATGCTAAGAAGTTCAGAGTTGGGTGTGAGGCCACAAAAACAAACATGCACACACAATCTGATCTTCTGCCACAATCTGGAAAGTCGATAAAGCTAATAACTTTTCACCACTCTTCATATAGAAGTCTGGTACTATCTGTAGATGCTTTAAGAAATGAATAGGGACTTTGAAACATATATACTTCTATAGATAACAGGAGGAATTTCTTGAATTTCTAAAATTTATGGGTAGTCTCAGTTTTGGGGACAATTTAAAAATAGACTTTTTTTTTCCTCTTTCACTCATAAGGAAATGATTTAAAAAATAAGTATTTGAAAAACAAATTTCTAAACATAATATTCAGTGTGAAAAATTTGTTTTCTGCAGCTTATCAACTCTTTGCAGGTTAATTAAAGCCAGGAAATATTTTTAAATGGTAAAAATCATTTTTGGAGATAATAATGATTTAGTGCTACAAGTCTTACTAATTAACCAATTAGGTAGTGGAGGAAGCGTTGGATCATACTTTTCCCAAGGGTATTTGCACATAACAAACCCAGCAGAAATTGGAACTCAGCTCTCCGACAAGCTATTAACCTTTACACCATTCGCACAGTATCAAGAATTCCGAAGTGGTCATCCATTGAAGGCTAGACCTTGCTTAACTTTGGTTTTTGTACAAGAACTAGTGTCTCAATGCTATATAGCTGTAAACCATTTCTGTCTTATAATTGTTATCCAAATGTTTTTTCTTGATGTAGGAAAAGCAACAATGTAGCCCATGCCTAAAAAATAATACTGGTTGAAAAAAAAAAAAAAAAAAAAAAAAAAAATCTTTAAATCTTAATACATTCAACATTTACATCTAAATAGATACAGATGATTTTACACACAAATACCAAGTACAAACTATAATTGAATCAATGGATAATAAAACTATTCAAAGTGTGATACTTTTTGAAAGTAAAAAGATTAGAGCCAAGTGGATAAGACTATAGGATCACATTGTCATTTGGTAAATTCATAGAGAGGGGAAGGAGAGAATAGACAACAGGTGTAATGTTGAGCTACCGCATCTCATAAATCTCAATTTGTTACTATCAGGAGTTCAATCCTCATTTGTGTCTCACTAAGTTGAATAAATAACTTCATGTTCAATTCAATTTACAAAGGAGTGTGGCAGCAAAGCAAAGGCATCAGGACCCACTACCTGCCTCCCCAAGAAATGCTGAATAATAATCTAATTTTTCCGTGAAGAAAAAGGAAAAGAACACCTTTGCCTGTTTCTGTTTCTTCTAAAAGCTCCAGCATGAAGACAAGAGAGAATGCAGAAACAAGACAAGATTCTTTTCACAAGTTGGGAAAGAACATGAAACATGAAGAGAAAAAAAAAAAAAAAAAAAAAAGGAGACATTGAAGCAAAGCCAAAAGAAAGTTAAGGAGCAACAGAAAGTAGAAAAATTGTAATCTTTGAATCTTCTCTTGCAAGACAAATGGAATCAACATGAGAGGTGGGGGGGGAAGGGAAGTAAAAGAAATAAAGGAGAAAAAAGGCAGGAACTTTGATAAGTTAGACAACATTAATAAAATTCTAAAAATAGTTGGCAGGTAATATCTATTGAGAGATGCAGGCAAGGGGAGAGAGAAAGAAGGCATGTCAAGATAAAGGGTCCCTTTTCTTCCCCAGATAGAGGGCGACAGTATGGGGAGGGGGGGACCCAGATAGGGGGAGACAGTATGGGGAGGGGGGGGACCCAGATAGAGGGAGACAGTACGGGGGGGGGGGGACCCAGATAGAGGGGAGACAGTACAGGGGGGGGACCCAGATAGAGGGCGACAGTACGGGGGGGGGGGGGAGAGAGAGATCCAGATGGATGGCAACAGGGATCATAAAAAAAAAGAAAGAGACCCACAGTGAGAGTGTGCGACAGAGAAAAGACGTACAGGGAGAAGTGACGATGGAAGGAGGAAGCATAAAGCAAGAAAAAAAAACTATTAACTAGAATAATACCCTTTCTTTATTTTCTTATTAAATTCTATACGAAGGAACTAATGAATAGCTCATGTTAAAATCAATTTTGGTGGTTTTTTTTTTGGTTTTTTCACAGTAAAATACTTTGCAATGAATTTCTATATATTCTTTTAGCATTTGTTATGTCACTATAAATGTAATCATTAAAGTGAATAAAACTTGATATATTTGTTCAATATATTAAACAGAGAAACAGTAAATAAATTATTTCCAATTCCATTTTTCTACATTAAAATACTTTCTGGCCAATTACAAATTCTATTAGTATTTAATAAAATTAGTTTAAGAAATTCCTACCTACGATATAATGGGTTGAATAAACAATGAGTGGGTATATGTGTGGATATGGGACATATAAGCAGTGTAGAAGTATATATGCAGGTGCAAAAAAAAAAAAAAAAAAAAAAAAAAATTTGTAACCCCAAAAATAAAATCAGTTTGGAATTTTATGTAGGTTATCTGGATTGTTATAATAGACCTGATGAAGGTCAGAGGGCATGATAGCCAAAATGTGATTACAACAAAAACAAGGACAACAGTCTACAGGTAAATAGTGTAAATAAAATAAAAAATCTGATATTTGTTCAGATTTTGAGAAATGACCTGAGCTTGAGAAAAGGTTTATATCCTTGGTATATTATTTTAGGGGGAAAAAAAAAAAAAAAAAAACCTGAAAAGACGAGAGAAACGAAAAAGACGAGAGAAACGAAAAGACGAGAGAAACGAAAAGACGAGAGAAACGAAAAGACGAGAGAAACGAAAAGACGAGAGAAACGAAAAGACGAGAGAAACGAAAAGACGAGAGAAACGAAAAGACGAGAGAAACGAAAAGACGAGAGAAACGAAAAGACGAGAGGACTCATTTAGATTTATCCTAAAGAAGATGTGCTTATTGCATGTCTGATCACTCAGTCTTCAGAGCAAGGAGAATAAAACAAATATCGGTAAAAATAACTAACAAGTAATATTTAGAAATTAGCTCCTTGTACGCTCAAAAGTATAAAATCTCATATTATACTCAAATCAAGCACTAAATTTTAAGTTTTAATTTAAACCAAGTAAATTTAAAGAACAAAACCAGAATATAGAATTCAATATGAACACTTGTTCTCAATTTGGGAAAAAAAAAAAAAAAAAAAAAAGAAAGAAAAAGCAGTTAGGACCTTCCATAAGCGGAAATGGATCCTGTCAGTATAACATATATAGTGGGAGAATAAGCATTGTACTGCTCATTACTACATACAGTTGGAATTTTTCAAACAGACTCTTTAAATCCTATTTACATTAAACTTTTTATTCTGAGCTGGAAAAAACTCCAAAGGATTACTTGAATGAACCATACACCTATGGAAGCCTAAACAATGCATCATCTGAAATGCAAAATAAAAATCAATAAAATAAAAAAAGACGATGATATTAGTCTGAATAACTCATAGAATAATGACAATGACTCACAATTTTAGACAACATTTATAGTTAACTGAAGATTTGCTCAATTTATAAAGAAAGAAAGAAAGAAAAAAAAAGGATTTTTTTTTTGCTGATTAATCTAATATTGTCTCCAGAAGTTATGTTCTTCAAGATTAAAATATGTTTAAAAGAACACTAAGCAGAAATAAATTACAGATTTCTTTTTCTTTTTTTAAATAACTAACTTTTGGGGGTTTTAGAGTGCCAGATTGCTACACAACATTGAATATTGGACAATTTTATTTGGGATAAGGAAAAATACTTGGGACAAACCAAGATGTGGTCCTACCAACAAAGAGAATAGGGGAAATTAAGAGGGTTTACCCAAAATAAGAGCTACGAAAAGTAACTGCTGATAACAGAGTTGAAGTATTTGGGATCTATAAGGAGGAAAGAAGGCTCGGCAAGTTTAAAACCTGCAAGACAAATCAATGACAACAGAAGCATAGGGAAGCAGCACGTGACATACTTGACAAGTGCATGAAAATGAATGGGAGGAAAAATACCCGAAAAAGAGAAGTCATAAAAGGAGAAAGTATCACGAGAACCATAATCATCTAAATCCTGAAAGGATATAACACACACACACATATATATATATATATATATATATATATATATATATATATATATATATATGAGAGAGAGAGAGATACTTCAATTACTGGACAAGGATGTAAAAATAAAACTGGTAGCTTCGTTATAGTGGAATATTTGCACATAAGGGATTTTGTCTCTTTTAAACTGACAATGATTATATATATATATATATATATATATATATATATATAAAAAACAAGGTTGAGGAGAGATGCATATTTGAAATATACATACAAAAGTGAAGAGACAAAAAAAAAATAATAGGAAGAGAGGCAGATAAATAATAGTGACCCCTCCTTCAAAACTATGGTTTAAATAAAAGATTAGACTTATCTCTTAGTTGGCCGTTTTTGTTTAGCTGCATATTAACCTCTATGATTATTTAATGCCAAAATCAAAATATTTTGAAAATTTTTAAGATAATGGTTTTAATGATATAAGTCTTAACCTATAGTTGGTTAGGAAGACATGGATTCATACTCACACATAAGTGAATATAACAAACACAACTGGAATTGGAACTCTGTTTTCCATCTAATAATTCCGAACTGTTATTTATTACACCATCCATGCATCCAGCACTTGGTATTCCCAAGTGTTCACCCATCTAGGCTCAATGTTGCTTAACTTTGGTGATTATTTCTCTAGCCTTGTGTGACAGTCTAAGAGAAGGATAAATCTGAATTTAAAACCATGGAGAAAGCAAGAGGGAAAAATCACTCCACTATACCCCCCCAAGAAGTCATGGCAATTCTCAGACAAAGAAAAGGAATTCATTGTAAAACATAATTCCATCATTAAGGAATATGGCATTACAGAAAAAAAATAAAATAAAATACAAATTAAGACAATAATTGTAAATTTGTAAATGTTAGCAATTATTTCTAACTCAAACTAGAGATAAACAATGAATTTTCCATCACCTCTTCTAGATCTAGCAAAAAGTCATAAAAATTCTTATTCTGTACAACTATACTTACTACCATTACTAGACTGTATATCCTTTATCCAAGACCAAAGAATACCATAGTATCATGCACTTTTCATCAAGTATATATTAGATGTGGTAAATTTTGGCAAACCCACTGAGACATTTATCAAAGAAGTTTTTAACATCTTAATATCTGGATAATCTAAAATACTATATCAAGGCCAAATATCATTCACTTTTCATGAAGCATATATTAGATATGGTAAATTCTGTCTGTAGAGAGACATTTATCAAATGAGAAATATGTTTAATTCAAGTTTCTGTCTTCATGTTTTAATGATACACAATGTGCATAATTAGCAGAGGTCAGAGGTGGAGTCTTAAATTATTATTCACTGACCTTTGTTGGTTTGGCAAAATAGATAATCTGACAGTTCTGGAATCAAATAGCAAGGTGCATAGTTGGGGCACCCATTCTTTTCATCTCCTTGATTTGAACTAAAAGAAGCATTTTAGTCCACTCACCCAACACAGGACTCTTGGTTACATGAGGGGTGGACATATAGAAAATGGTTCATTTCTTTTTTGATTGTTGTAGTCTATCAAATATTACCCACTACTCTTTAACTGAATCGTCAGGGTACTTCAATGCTGATTAGTTTTCAGGTACAATGACCTGCAAAATTCTGGCAATTTTTTTAAATCCCTGTTGATCCACAAAACCTTTTATTGGAATAAAACCCCTACAAAAATGCTTTATCTTATAAACAGAGCAGAGTCTGGAAGAATTTAAAAAATAGTATAAATATCACAGGGCATTACATCTATGAAGATTTTAAGTTTATTTGAAAACTTGGTCTGCAAAGCTTTATATAAATTTTAGAATTTTTAAAAAATTTTCCACAATAAATGATTAAGATATAAGTAGTAATAATTGTTGGGGAAAAAGAAAAGCGTTGAAAAGGGACACTTTGGATTTCTGCTTTTGTTTCTGAAGTAAAAAAAGTTGATCAATATGCATTTAGAACTTTTCTCACTTTGCTTATCTTTGAGTTGCAATAAAAACTCACTCTGGGAATAAACCTATAAATTAATACAATTATACTTGTTTATATGTACACCGCTTATGCTTTTCTACTTAGGATCAGTGTAGTATCTGAATGATTGCAAATCCTTCTCAGCTTAAATCAATTAAGTTTTCTAAAGAAACTTATATAACAGTAATACTAAATGGCAAGGAATTTGAAAAAAAAAAATTAGAGAAAGGATGGGGAAAACAGGGTGTGAAGAAAGACAGTTATAAGGGGTTTGTTAAGGGTGTTCTTGAACAAAATCACAACCCAAATCTTAAATGACCAGCTTAAAAGGCTTCTTTGTTGGCCCAAGAAATAAAGATAAGTGATGCCTAAGGTTTAAAAATTAATTTTTTTGAAAATGAAAAGTCTTTCTTGAAAATTTTATTTTAATTTCAAGCTAATAGGTTAACTTTAATATTTAAATTGATTGAAATGAATTTAAAAAATAAATTAAAAAAAAAACAAAAAAAAAAACAAAAAAAAAAAAAAACAAAAAAAAAACAACAATCAAAACAGCTGATAATCCTCTCAGCACAACAATTTTCTTTATTAAAAAAAAAAAAAATCTTTCAAAAATGAAATTTACTTTTCTGAAAATTTATTTGAAGATTAGCCGATTTAAAGTTTAATCCGATTTGAAAATTTTTTTTTACTTATATTTAGTTTAAATGGTGATTTTATAAAGGCATTGACAGCCTGATTTTTGGGAAATTTAATATTTTTCTACAGGGGACATATGTTAAAATTACTTGACAAATATATGATTGCCTTTTTAAAAATTTTAAAAAATATTCTAAGTAATCTCATGTTTTATTGAATTTTAGATACTTCAGCTTTAAATTTACTATACTCTTATTTTCTGATAATGTAATTTATGAACATTTGTATTTACAAAAATTAGTAGACTTAATAATAATAATAATAATAATATAAAAAAAAAAAAAAAAAAAAAGCAAAATTCTTTTTAAAATACTGAGGGTTGCTGAATTCTAATAAGCTTTATCCATTTATGATTAGTAATTATAGTTTTTACTTAATAATGATATCACCTAACTGGTACAAATTAAATCAAGAAATTTAAAACATTTCCTAATTAAAATTTTAAAAAATGAAAATCCTTGTAAAATTTAATTCTTCAATGAAAAATTTATGACAATACTGTCCATAACATTTATGGTTGTATTGCATTTTTTATTTTATAATTCACAGTAGACTTTCAGTAACTAGGGGCACTATGTTACAAAAAAATTGATTTAATTCCTCCAAGAACTGCTTATAACTAATATAAACATCAAGCCCTACAAAAATGAATTTTTAGAAATTTCATGAAAGTATATAAGGCGGGGGGGGCAACAGTATATATATATATATATATATATATATATATAATGCATACTTGATTAGTACAGTAAAAACATCCTTCAATTTAACTATAGTAATTGAAAATTTTTTTTTTTTTTAGTTACTGATGTACAGATTAGCCACACTAATCAAGAGATTCCTTCATATATATATATATATATATATATATATATATATATATATATATATATATATATATATATTATATGAAAAGATTTTATAAATGAAGTATCATTTCTAAAATAATTTCATTCAATTGTGAATAAATCCTGAAAGGATCATTAAAATCTGACAATTTGATTTTGAAAGTATTTCCAAATCAATGTTTTTCACCACAAAAAAAAACAAAAAAAAACACTAAAACTTCCTATACTAATTTATGGCCAACCACTGACAGAAAAAAAAATTGTTGGTTCTAAAAAGG